CTTCTTCTTCTTCTTCTTCTTCTTCTTCTTCTTCTTCTTCTACAGCGTGCGTAAGCTACATCAGGACAAAATTCGACATATGGGAAACAAAAATATTCTGTGAGAGCTTGAGCTGTTTTCAATGAGGAAGTATTTATTAAGTGGGCCTGTAATATCGATTTTCATGCAGCATCATTTCGGGATATTTCAGTCCCGTCAAAATGCCGGGCTTTGAATGAGCTGATTTACGATCGTCTACTAAAACTAAACTCGGTAAAAATGACTTCATAAGTAATATGCATTTTCCACCGATTTTTGATGCCCGTTTGGACTGTCTTTAGGTTTCATATTTGACATTGACATAAAATGATAAACTACTTTTACATTTTCAGTAGCCCGAGTTTCCTTTTTTCGTTAAATTCCGCCAAAATTAGGTCGAATTTCCATCAGTAGGCATCAATTGCCTGATTAGCGGGAGTGAATAAGAATTTTACTTCTCTTATTTGCCTACTCTAGTTGTCTCCATTCCTCGAACCAGTTGTTAACGCTGGAGTTCTGGTCTAATCTGCGACGCAACTCGTATCCAGCAGTCTTTACCGATAGTCGACAATGGACACCGATCTAACTACCCTGCTTGGTGTGATGATCTACGTTGTGAGCATGTAGTTCTCTCCCAATGTCGCCCCGGGGTAAGAACTTGTGCTGCGCCGTTGTCTTTAGAACCCTCGTGAAAACCTTCACGAAGTTATTAAGGTGTGTGTGTGCTTGCCCTATTCATTACCGCACACGTGTTTTGCTGGGCGAATCGTCTTTTCGTGTGGGACTGGGACGTGAGCATCTGTCAGACCGTTGGTTCAGATTGCCGCTATCCATCCCTCCTGTTTGTTCTTGCTGCGGATATTTTTGCTACTAAAATGGAAATTGCTCTCGCAGTGACAAGTCACCACCCCGAGTTTTTTGTACATACATTTACTACTTATTCCGTTTCAGTAGGTTGAATTAAGTTTTCATGTTTTAAGACATACAAGTCTACATTCCTGTTAGGCATGCAGGGCCTGAAGACCGCAGCGGCGAGGATCTTCTATGGCAACTTAAGTCACTGCGGTATTGGTGCTCCTGAAGTGATCTGACACACAATTGCTGGGTGTCGCTGAACTATATCATCAGCCTCAGCGCCGACAAACTTTTCCCATTGACTTGTTTGAAGACGGCTTTCCGTCATTCCAATAAACCAATACTACCGCCTCTTCCTTTCCATACTGTACTTGCGTCGGCCAATGAGAATTTAATCTACGTGGACCTCTACTCTAGGTTCACCTAGTTGAATTTAATCATTCAAAAGCGTCGATGGACACACATTTCGGACCTCGACTATTGAATGCAGCCCCAGTTGATTAGACCGAAGTTTTGGTAACAATCGGGTGCACTTGCGGTCGAAAAATTATAAGACCCGGCGTATTTGCTTTGTTTGTTGCTGAATTGTGATGCGTCCGCTTGTCGACCCTCGGTTACCCTTTGCA